GTAACACCACTATGTAAGAGAACTTACTGACATTTCTTTAAATTAATTAAAGGATTTTTGCCAAACACGAGGGATATATATTTGTTCATGGACAGCCAAAATAACATATAAAACGTAAACTATTCCCTTATTTGGTGTTATGACAATATGTAACAATAATCAAATGTATTAAACAACAAAAAACTAGTATCAACAGAGTACCAGAGCTAAAGGAAATTTGGGTTTGGAGGCCAGAATTAGCTGTGTACAGTATGCAACCTAAAGGCAATTTCCAGTGCTAAATATATTCATTTTAAGTTTCACTGAAGACGAAGAATACAATAATGATGGCCTAGCTTTTTCAAACGCTGTCTTTCCACATCAGGCTTTACAAAGTAAACTATACTTTTCACCCCAATCTGTCATTTTAAATATATTTTCAGCTGATAAAACATTTACTTTTACTTTGTGTTACAAACATGAACAAAGAATGTTTTTTTTTTCATGTCAGGCTCTTAAGAATGTAAATATATTCACATTTTAGATTAGAGAGATTCTGGGGAGTTTCTCGAAAGACTGTGTGTGTGTGTGTGTCATCCTCTGTAGCTCTCTAGCTGCAGGTGTACAACACTGTACTCTTGTTCCACAATCAATGACCGGCAGGCAGCTGTTTTATCTACTCTTCGCTCCATCAGAAGACATTGCTCCCTAACCAGCCGACGCAAAGGGATGCTGCTTTATTTTTTAATACAGACGGCTCCCACTGAGCTACACCACCAGAGCCCCTGCTGCGCTTTGAAGTGAATGTTTGATGATGTGAATGTATGATGTTTCGTCAGGTTTTTGAATTCAGAAATGTCTGCTATGTATTTGCTCAACTGGTAACTAAACGAGACCAGTGAAGCTGACTAAATCAAAGCAATTCCTCCTCGTTCCTTTTTTTTTTTCTTGGCTGAAAAAAATGTTTGCACAATGTTTTGGCTTCCTTTGAGAAGATAAAAACAAACTATATGAAGATTTTGATGATATTGAAAAATGTCATATGAGCCAACTCTTCCTACTCACTCCTGCTCATCGTTAATCATATATTTACTGAGCCTTATTTGGAAGATTTTTCCTCAGCAACACTTGTTGCACCTGCAGCAGCCAGCTAACACTTCCTCTGTCCCCTGACTGGCCGAACTAGCCGGCACCTCGGCAGTGTGTACCCTCTTTCATCCTCCCCTCTCCTCCCCTCTCATCCCATAGCCCCTTTCATCCATCAGTGGCCTCCGCTGTATCCCTGCCAGTTCACATTCTGTAGCACTTAAAAAGAGTGAGAGAGGGTAAAGACGGGAGGCTTAACTGTCTATGCCAGCTCAGCGGCCAAGGTGCCAACGTGAGGAATAACTGTTGTCTTATGGATGATGGAATTTCCTCAGCTAAGCAGTGGCTGTATGAGAGCTTCATATTCTTGGAAGTGTAACTGTGAGGATGTTCTGTACCTTTTCGCTCTACAGCCCACATAAACATGCTTTATTGACACAGAAAGCAGAGAGAGAGAGGGAGCAGCCACTCGCTCTTGAGAATGAGATTCGGCTTGGAAGCCGGTTGCAATGAGCGGTTCTAACGCCAGCAGTCACTTCTGCTCAGTAGTCTCGAGTGCAAATGAAACCTGAGCCGAGCAGCAGGGTTTAGATGCTGAAAGCGAGAGATAGTTAAGCTAAGCTCCCATGTTGAAGACATCAGGGATTGAGGCCCGTGGCAGTTTAGCTCCTGGCTCCCGGGGCTCCTGGCAGGAGAGTCCTCTATAAAGAAGGCCTATTAAAATGCTCCTCCTTCTCCGAGGAATCAGGGGAGTTAATCAGAACCAGAGCTCTAGATGGAACCACTCACTAAACGCTTAGACCACACTGCGCTGGTCCTGGTTACTGGAGCTTAAGGTTCCCAACAAAACCCAACAATAGGGGCTTGACCTTCCCACCGACAATCCCATGTACTTCTCAACATGCACAGCAGGTCTGGTGGCGATTAATATTTATGTTTGGCACATATATTGAACCAGGCGCCATCAGCCTCTGCAACATGCATGGCGGTGCTATTATAATGAACCACACATTTGTGCGCTGTTCAGTTGCTCCCAGTTGTTTGCTCCATGTCTTAAGATATATGGCTGGGTTGCATAATAGCTCTCTTCCATCATGGTCTGTGTTTTGCTTCATTCATGCACGTGTGGGTGTCTGCTATGAGGTCGGCACTGCTCCCCCTAAAGCTCCAGGGGTTCTGGTCTGCGAAATAATCACTTTCCCAGCTCCTACGCACTTCTGGACAGTTTTCAAGTACAAAGTCAAGTATCTGTAAATCTAGATAGTACAGAGAGATAGTACAGTACATTTTATTTATGTAGCTCAAAATCACAAATCACAAAACTGCATCAGTGGTCCCTGGTGGATGTAAGATGGATAGATAGATATTCTGTATGTTTTCAGTTTGAAATATTCAAGCTTTAGCATACTTGCCTTTTATAGTCAATCTAAACCCCCCTCCCAGCTTGTATATGTTTGTCACATGCCTGTGCATGCAGGGTGCTATGGGAGTGAATCACTCTGTCCCTGTCCATCCGGCCGAGGCCAGGGGCCAGCATGGCTCTTGGACATGGGCAGGAAGCCTCTGGACCTCCCCAGGATGTAGCTGTCAGCTGATCCCCCTTTGGGAGGGGAAGGAGGAGTGGAGGAGACGGGAGGGAAGAGGAGGGGAGAGGAAAAGAAATTGGCAGGTGTGGATGGGACAGGAGAGTGGGGGCTGAGGGCTCTCACTGGCCGACAGTGACATTGGGAAGGTCTGTTATAGAGATAAAAGGGCCCACATTACTTATTATTCAGGCTCCCTCCATCCTGTGAGAGCTGATTTGCAGCTGTGGATGCCTCCTGTGATGCTTTTAAGAACGGGGGTCATAACCTGTGCACACGTGTTCCGTGTGCACGTCTGTGTTTCTCATATGTCTTTACACTTGAGTTTATGGAGCCCTGAGCCAGTGTGATTAGAGGCTGTTACATGACAGACACTCAACACCAGTCCTTTAAAGATGGATACCTCTTTCACTGTTTATATCAAGAGCTCCGCTTATATAGTTGCCACATGTTAAGTCAATCACTTCCCACTGGTGTTTAACGCCCATGTGTGATACAGCTGGATGACCTTTCACCTCTAATACCCTTCCCTCTCTCTCAGACACCTAGAAAAGCAATGCAGGCATAGAACAACCCTCAACTTCTGATCCCCAACGCACAAACACAGTCAAATTATTCTGCACGACAAAAATGTCTTTGGGAGATGGAGTCCAGATCTGCTGCTCACTGTAGTTGACAGCCAAGCGGTAGAGTGAAATGGTCTTTGAACTCGCAGTGTGACGCGGTATCGATTGGAGACAGTAACCTAGTTTTTTTTTTATGTGATAACTGGAAAATAGCACAGATCTCACTGGACAACCATCTGGAGCATTCCTCGCTCTGCGTCTTCCAGGCTCACCATATTAGTCGCCTGTTCCGTTTTGTTTTCGGTCCTTCTTTCTACCTGTTTGTGTTGCACAGGTTAGAGTAATTTTCTCTCTCTCTCTCTCTC